GGCACACTTGCTACTCCCTGAGTTAAATTTTCATCACTGCTGTGTGAAATGCTTCTAAAACATGACTCTCCTTCTGCTTAGCATCTTACTTGCTGTGTTTTCAAATTGTTTGCTTGTTTTGGTAACCTGGTGGGCAGCACGGTGGCACAGTTGGTGGAGCTGTTGCCTCTCAGCAAGAAGGTCACCAGAAGAAATCCCGGCCGGGGGGCCTTTTTGGGTGGAGTTTACATGTTCTCTCCATGCATGTGTAGTGAACTAGGCCTGAGACTTTATGGGACAGAAGCTGTCATTTCATTGATTTGAATCCAGAAATACAGGTTGACCCATCCTGAGACTTTTTTTCTTTAAGAGTTCAAGTGAAAGAACACTCTCTTTTCTATTATCATTACTGTTTTACAAATGTTTGATAATCAAAGTGTTTTTAGTTCAAACCATTTTAGATGTTGCAGTGAACTAATCATTTTTAATTAACTGTGAAACAGTAATAATGATTTTAATCCTCATGCAAAGTTAGAATTCATGTTAAGGTCTGTTACAGAGTAATTATGCATTTTCTGATTTTCTGTCTTTGAATGAGCAGTGTAAGTTGGTCCAAGGTTGGAGTCAAACGCAAACAAGTTGTTGGAATGAGCTGTCATGTTTTTAAATCCTCTCAGACGTAAATAGAGAAGCTGGCACCTGTTTTCCGCCAACTCGTCTAAATATTCCTCTCGTCTGTCTGAAAACATTTTCAATCTGTTCCATAACATTCTTGCTGTTTTTCTAACTCCTAGTGACCTCTTACGTCACAAAAACACACCCCTGTCTGGTTGAAACGACCAATCAGGAAACTCCCAAGTGAACCGGAAATAGAGCTCTTTAAAGGTTGGTACTTCCTAGTTCAACGGGGTCGAGTTTGGAGTCGAGTGGAGAGTTTGCAGCTCCAGTCGTTTGGGAGAACAGAAGTCCAGCCATGATTCAAAGCTCTTCCGAGTATTGGGATTATGACATCTTCCACCTCTGAGTGGAACTCTGACGGACTCCTCTCATGTGAAGTCCACTCGTGAGGTGAACTTGTGTCGAACAAGCACCGTCACTACTTCGGACGATTCACAGCTGTTCCTACGGAGACGCTGAAAGGGTGCGTTAAATGGAATTTCGTATCAGGGAGACATCTCCAGGTAAAAGAGATTTCTATCACCTAAGTGTACCGGGGAAGAAGCTGGGGAAAACCCGGAGAGTGCCGTTCTGATGAAGACACAAACATTCTCCCTCATCCATCTTTTTCTCCCTCTAAACTTCATCTTTCCATCTTTAAAACTCTTCTATCAAGTAGAAATTAATCCAGATATTTTTAGAAATGTCTGAAGCAAAGTTTTTCAACCACCGCCGTGTGGTTAATGTCTGTTGTACTACTGCTAGCTAGAAAACAATCGCCGTATTGTTTACTTCCTGTAAAACTGCTAAATTAGCCATGTTGTTATTTTCCATATTTTGCCAATTAATGTAAATGTGTGATGTGTTATACTTTGATTCTGTTAATAAATGACCCACTGTCAGAGTCAGAGTCAGTCAGAGTCAGAGTTTCTTTATTGTCATTCGCACCTCATGTGGTACATGTGGTGGAGCGAAATTATGTACACAGGGTCCCAGTTACATCCAACAATAAAATGTATAAGA